CAAGTTTATGTCCAAACTAGCACCAAAGTATATTGAAGCAACTATCAAGGAAAAATTGTCACCACTGGTTTATCGTTTGTCAGATTTAAATGGTTCAGATCTTGGTAAGTGGCACATTAAGGATTTAAAGCCTTTTGTATCAGATGAGGACAATATGTCATCTTTAAGTAATTAGTTCATCCTATCCCATGTCTATATATTTGAGTTTGTATGTTGATTTGATTTCATCCTTTTGGAATATTGTTTCGCTTTTGATAATTTTAGTTCAGGTAAAAATATTATTAAGAAGTTTCGACTCAGTTAAGAGGTCATCTTCTGATTTGGTTTTTGTTGTTTTGCCTTTATCAAAAACTGGATAAGAATTATCCGAGTTTTTTCTTTTAAGAAGGGGCATTGTAGCGTTTTTTTTTTTTATTTATTGTGCATATAAAATATTTCTATGGTACGTCCCTGTTGTTTCTACCAAGAAATCGATCAATAAAGTTAAATGTAGGTACGTTGTAAATATTTCAAGTTTTTTTGACAAGATTTTTAAATGCGTATTAACGTTGGAAATATGTTTTTATCTCTGTGTTGCAATGTTAGGTAAAATAACAAGTTTTTTGTCGCCAAAGAGGTATTATGTTAAAACGCAATAAACATGATTTCCCCTAATAATAAAATTGTTTTTCGTTATTAGACGAGGGTCAAAAAAAAGAATATTTGTTTGTTTAGGCAATAAAGGAACATTTAAAAGTTGTTTTTTTATCGATAATAGGAGGGAAGATTGGTTTTGGTTCTTGAGTTTGTGGGGACAGGTTAGCTGCAAGACGGAAGGGAAATTTTTGGCTAGTTTCTTGTAAAATGTAACGAAGCATAAAAAGTCGAGATTTAGATTCCAAGCGGGGCAGACATGTGATAAAGAGTCGAGATTTAAGTTCCAAGCGGGGCAGACATGTGGGAATGGAGTAAAAGATTTGAGAGGAAGTGATGAAGAACTTCTCGAAGAAAAAAGTCGTTTAATTGTGATGTTGTAAGCCGGCATTCATTCGCCAAAATGGTGGAATTTTCACTCTAAGTAATATGTCGTTTCTGAAAGAGTGACCAGTAACCACTGTTTTTATTTTGGCTGAAGATTTATGATGTTTGAGCAGTGAACAAGTTTAGTTCCTGTTTGTTTTTCGTTTTTTTGAGAGATCCAGTTCCTTCCCGAGATGCCCTTTTCACCTCATGTAGAATAATATTGGAGCAGTTTTGATTTGGATGTGCCAGTTTCAGCTTCCAATAAAGCTTTCCGTTGATGTGCAGTTAGATACCCCACAGAAATTAGCCAGTTGTTCAAAAGTTTAAGTTAACATGAACTGAGGTAACATTTACGTTATTAATTTTTAAAGTAAAAATAGACATTTTCTTTTAAAAAGACAAAATTTGCTTTCTTTTATAAATTATTTTTTAAATTATTTACTAGGAACCGTTTCGAAGAGTTTTGTAACCTTTTGTAAACAGATATGTAAGTTTTTTTTTTATTTGTATTTGACAGCTAATTTTATTTAATATGCCTTTGTATAAGCTGTATTTTTGAAAACTGTTTGGTGAGACAAAAATAAATGTTTAATTTGTTTCTCTGATCTATTTTGAGTTTTATTTGAAAAAGATACTTTTTTCTATATTTTTGATGTTATACAATTATTTCCCTAGTTACAACTAGTGGTTGTAATAGGTATAATTGGGCACCTCAAGTGGCGCCCTATATTAAATTTCTTGAGGTGTTTCCGTTAATTTTCATTCTGTTTGTCCCAAGAGATTTGTATAAGTACCCCTTTATTTCTTTTTTTTGTAGTTGCCCAATCCAACCCCCAATATCTTCAACTTATCCACGACCCAGCTCTCCAACAACCAACTGAGTGTCGTATGCACTAATTTCGATTATTTTGTTTGCCCAATCTTGTCCCCCATATTCTTACCCTGTGGTAAGCAAAATAGTTGTTACAGTGTCCCAGGCTGCTATTTTAATTATAACTGCCAAATACTAGACACCATTTCATTTCAGTTTGAAAATAAATCTTATAATAATTTCGTTCGCGGTACGAATCCTGGACGCGTTCAGGATGCGTTTAGAATCCTCGTAGTAATCGGGTTGTACGCAAGCGCGGTTCATAATCAGTTCAGGATTGATTTACACCGCGAACGAATTTTGAACAATTTTCAGTTCTGATACGGAACAACCCGAAGGCGCAGTCGACTCGGCGGGAACTGTTCACGCATCTGGTTTGCGCATTGCCAGCTTCCATATTTTATTTAGATTAGAGCACACTTTAGTCTAGTTCGTCTAGTTTAGAGATGAGCATTGTTAGAAAAACAACAGAATGTCTCGAATAAACAATAAACCGTTTAAAGTTCAGAGTGACAATCACCAGAATAATAAAAATGTTCCATGTTCCTATTTTGAAATTTCCAGTGTTTCTATTGCGCATGTACGAACTCCGAGTTCTCTTTAAATCCCAAGGATCGGTTGAACTGGTTCTGAACTGCAAGTTCTGTTACCGCGAACGACAAGATTCCGGACTAGCAGTCCCTGTCAGTCCAGAACTTGATCAGCGCGAACGCTCATTTTTACACTGCGCATGCGAAGTAATCCAGAACGAGTCCAGGATTCGTACCGCGAACGAAACTAATATAAACTAAAAACCAAAACTACGGAGCTGCTCGGTGAACACCGAGCAGAACAGACATGTGCAGACGTAACAAGCAGTGACGACACCGACCACCGTCCGGAGCAGTTCATATCAGAACACGTGGTGAGTGTAAGCACCACAAGCGGAGGTTGGCCGTTAAGGCTCTGAATGTTCAACAGAAGCGGAGGTTGGCGTTAGTAGTCTAATTAGCCGCGGGTAGTTGTATTCATTGACCATCCTCGGAGGTTGGACTCCTGGGACGCGCACCAAGCAACCAAAAATTCGAAAAAACACAAGTTTAAAAGTCGATTTCGACGGGGATGACACTGTAAGGTATGAGATATTTGCAACTAATATCGGACAGCACCGGCCCCGGGTCCTTTTAAGAGAAACATCAAGCGGAACCATACCACTGTACTTTCGGTAGGGAACAACCGTGGTTAAGATCCTGGGATGACACCCAGAATCCACCTTCGACACGGTCGAATGGGACCAAAAAAAAACAGCCAAGTTGAAGACCCTTCTTCTTCACCTTCATCCTTCGTGGAGTCAGAGCAAGTAGCGATAAATACAGCGACAGACTCCTCATCCAACTCAACGGCCTCCACCTCCGACCAGTCAGATATGGAAGTGGAGGCTATTAAACCTGACGAAAAATTAGAAAGATCTGAAAGCCCTCAGCCAGCAAATCCTAAACTTGATATGGTTATAAAGTACATCAACACGGAAATAATCATATCGGGAGACCCTCAGGACAACAACCTAGCCCTCTAGGAAAAATCAATAAAAAAATAATAATAGGGCCTCCGCTTCCCCTCAGGACAAAAATCGCTCCCTTCAGGAGAACACAAGCTCAGAAACCCCGCAGGTCTCTGAAAACGAATTTAGTAAAAACCACGAAAAATTCGAAAACCTGTCCGAAACTGGCCAAAGCTCAACCAGAAAAAGACCATGCTCTAGCCTCGAGGTAGTGTCAATAAACGACACGAAATGGACTAGAGACGACGACGACGTGGCTCAATAAATAGATTGGTTGAAAAAATCACTGATATTTTCACAAAATTATAGACCAATTAGTGTGCTATCATTCATAAGTAAAGTAGCAGTGATAGTGATACTAAAACGATTCAAAGAGGAATCAGAAGCAAAAGGAACAATTCCAGCAGCACAATTTGGTTTTAGATCTGAGCACTCCTGCGAATCTGTAATTCGACTAAGATAATATATAATATAATATATAATATATGAAATACTAAAACTAACAAAATATATCACCAAGGCTTCAATGAGAAGGTGTACATAGCAGCTGCGTTTGTCGATGTCAGTAAAACCTTTAACAGAGTCTGGCACGAAGAATTGATATACAAAATGCACAATATAGGATATACCGAATAGATGACATGACTTCTTGCGTCATACCTGACAAACCGGAGATTCAGTGTTCGAATAGGGGCCACCCTGTCCGAAGTCGGAACTCTGGTGGTAGGTGTGCCGCAGGGAGCGGTGCTTAAGATAATTAAAATCAATAAAAGGAAAATTTTTGTATGGGAATCGATGCGTAGTTAATTATCATATATTATTGGATCCAATGGTCACCCTTTCTGTCGTCGAATCTTATAAAAATGGATATTCAGAAACTATCATATATACCAAAATCAAATAAGGTTGTCAGTGCAGCACTTTCTTAAACTGAGATCATTTGCATGGTTATGCTGGGATATGCTGGTTATCAGTTTGTCTTAGAATGCTCTCTTCGTCAGCGTTTACTATTAGGTTAGCTAAATCAGTAGTTCCGCTGAGAGACTTTAAACACTTTTATGCCGCTAATCTATCACCTGATACCAATATATATGTATCCAGTCTCCATTCGAACTCGCAACTTCCATATTTTTGACTGGAGTTTCTCTTAAGGGGGTTATATGTCGGTCTTTTTGAGACTGTTATTGCTGTGGTTGTAGTATATGCAATGACTGCTGCGGTGGTCGCTGATGTTCAATTGTTATGGAAAGTGAAAACGATTGCTGCTGTGGTCGGTCAATGGTTATAGGAAGGGTTAAGGGAAGCTCGGTCTCGGTCTTGGTCTTTTCATGTTCTCCACTTTGGAAGAACATGAAAAAATAAAATAGTATTTTATATGTTATATTATGTTACTTCATGTTATGTTTTGTAAACACAACACAACCCAACAAAACTTACATAACAATAACATATAAATAAAATATAAAACATAAAAACAAAGCAAAACGAAAAAACCAGACAAAACACAACAATACACAACACAACTTAACATAAAATAACAACATAACATAAGAATACAACATATAAAGCACTAGTATATTTTTTCAGGTACTCCTAAAGTGGATAATGCCAAGATCGAGCTTCCCTTAACGCTTCCTATAACCATTGAACAACCACAGCAGCTATCGTTGTCACTTTCTTTAACGATTCAACATCAGCGACCACTGCAGCAATCATTACATGTACTACAACTACAGAAACAACAATTTCAACAAGAACAACATACAATTCCCTTCCCAGAAATTCCAGTAATAAATATGGAAGTTGTGAGTTCGAATAGAGATCAATTTCAACATATATTGGTATCAGGTTTAGCTGCACAAAAGTTTTTAGAGACTCTCAATGGAACTACTGACTTAGCTACTCTTAATAACAAACGCCGACGAATAAAGTATTGTAATACAAACAATATTTTTTTTTTTTTTTATTATAACTAATAAATTAACAATCAGAATAAAACAATATATTCTATAAGTTAATGTGATGAGTTTAAGTCCTGTCCCTTGGTTCTGGCGTGATGTGGTCCCCTCCAGTGAGAGAATCACGGGTCCATGTTACTGGTCTGTTGGCCAACGTCGCTTTAGTCTTCGGATAACTTGATGTTGAGGTATTGCGGAAATTAATGGGTTGGAGTGTGTGTTCACTTTTTGAATGTATTGTAATTTCTTTTGCTGGTATACTTCTTTCACTGTTGAGATATTGAGATCCTCATAGATTCGTTGGTTGGTTACGTACCAGGGTGCATCAACAATTGCTCTTAAGATTTTTGATTGACATCTTTCCATAATAGCAATATTAGATTTACTACTACAGCCCCACAGCTCTATGCCATATGTCCATATTGGTTTAATAACTGTTTTATAAATTAGAATTTTATTATTTATTGACAGTTTGGAGTTTTTTCCAATTAACCAATTGATTTCTTTTTGTCTTAGTTGTATTTGTTTTCTTTTTTTGGTGATGTGTTCTTTCCAACACAGGGTTTGGTCCAGGTGTAGCCCTAGGTATTTGGTTGTTTTAGTCCTGGGTATTTCCTCATTGTTGATATATATTGGTGGTGGTGTTTCTCGTCGTAAAGTGAAAGTTACGTGGGTTGACTTGTTTTCATTAATTTTTATTTTCCATTGTTTTAGCCAGTTTTCAAGCTCATACAAATAATCTTGGAGTTGTTGTGTAGCTATGTTAATGTGTTTGTGACTGGTAAGTGCTACTGTGTCATCTGCAAATGTGCCAATTGTTACGTTATGCGAAGTTGGTAGATCAGAAGTATATAATATATATAATAAAGGTCCCAGGACACTGCCCTGTGGAATTCCCGCCTTAATGGGATGCATTTTAGATATTTCTCCATTTACTTTTGTTCTAAACTGTCGGTTTTCCAAGTATGATGTAAGTATTCGAAAGAAGGGTGGTAATATTTGTTTAATTTTATAAAGAAGTCCTTTATGCCAAACCTTATCAAAAGCTTGACGTACATCTAGTGATACCATTGGGCAATATTCCTTTTCTTCTAATGCGGAATTGATTTTATGGGTTATTCGGTGGCATTGCTGGATAGTTGAGTGTTCTCGTCGAAATCCAAACTGAAAATTTGGTATCCAGTCTGCGCCTGTAAGGCCTGGATCTATTCTTTTTATTAAAAGTTTTTCTAGTAATTTGGAGATTGTTGATAACAGACTGATAGGTCGATAGGATGAGACTTCACTTGGATCCTTTCCTGGTTTTGGAAATAAAAGTATTTCTGCAATTTTTAGATTGTTAGGCCAATAATTACATCTTAATATTGCGTTAAATATATATGTAAGGATCACTATACCCTTTTTTGGTAATTCCTTTAGCATTTTTGGAGTTATTAGGTCAATTCCTGGTGACTTTTTGATATTTAGTTTTAAGATTTCTTCTTTAAGTTCTTTGGGTGTTGTTAATTTTATTGGATTTACTGACGGTTGTTCTGAGTTTAAATAATTAATAATTTCTTGATCTTCTTCATTGTTGTGTGGTTGGAATACTGTTGCTAAATGTTCAGCAAATAATTCGGATTTTTCTTTATCGCTTCTTGCCCATTGGTTCTGTGTGTTTGTGGTTTTTCTTACTGGTGGCGATATTGCTTGAGGTTTTAAGGATGATTTGATTGGTTTCCATATTGAATGGTCGTATCTATTAAGTTGTGTTACATATTTTTTGACTGACTCTTCTCTTGCAATTTTTAGTTGTGTTTTTAATTTATTGGCTAAGCGATTGTAAAACGTTTTATCCGCTGGGTTCCGACTTTGTTGCCATTTGGCTCTTGCTCTTCTTTTTTCAGCAATGAGCTTTTTAATTTCTAGTGGAATATTTATTCTATTCTCGATTTTATTTTTATCTGCATCGTTCGGTGTCGCTTCTTTTGCAGCGTTTTGTAATAATGTCATAAAGTTGTTTGTAGCTGCTTCTATTTCTGAAGGGCTTCTTAGTCTTACATTTAGTTTAATGTTTTCATCCAGTATTTTTCGGTAAACGTTCCAATCTGTTCTAGGTCCATGCAGTTTTGGAGTAGGTTGTTTGTTAATAACGCAGGTGCTAATTGTTGCAATAATTGGTGAATGATCTGAAGATAGATCATAACTTGGAACTATGTCCATAAAGGTGTTAGATATTCCTTTTATGATGCAAAAATCTAAGAGGTCTGGTCTTTTTTTGGGGTCCGTTGGCCAGTACGTTGGTGTTCCTGTTGATAAATATGAGTATTTATTTTCTTGCATTAAGCTATAAAGCTCTCTCCCCTTTGTTGTTATTAATCTTGATCCCCAGTACGTGTGTTTACTATTGAAGTCACCAGCTGCGATAAATTTTGGACCTAGAGTATTGAAGAAGGATGCGAAATCGGTTTTTTTAATATTGTGCTTTGGAGGGCAATACACTGCTGCTATTGTTATTTCGTAAGGTAATGAGCACACTTTAATTACTGTAGCTTGGATACAGTCTGTTATATAACTTTCCATCATGAAATGTTTAATTGATTGTTTGATCAAAATTGCTGTACCTCCATGGGCTGTCTTGTCTGGATGGTTAGTATGGTACGTTAGATATTGAGGTATTTTAAAATACGATTTGTCTGTAAAATGTGTCTCACTTATTAATAATACATCTATAAAATTTTGTTGTAGAAATATTATCACCTCGTCCTTATGATTCAGCAGGCCATTGGCGTTCCATTCTGCTATTCGTAGAAAGAATTTTATTTGCATATGAGTTTACTTAGCATGTTTATTACCATGCTGTTTTGTTGCAAGATTTGATTAAACATGGCTTTGAATTCTTCTAAAAACTTCATAAGAATGGTGTTTGAATCTTGGTTATCTGAAGGAGCAGCAGGAGGTTGTCTATTACCCGCTGCATTAGCATAGCTTACATTTGGTCTTACTGTGTTGGGTATAAAGTTTCTGTTACGTGCTTGCGACATATTTTGGTGATGATTATATGTAGTTTGTGCTATATTTTTATTTCTATTTAAATTACGATAATATTCGCATCCTTTATAGTTAGCTGGGTGATCTCCTCCACATAAAGCACATGTAGCTGGTGTGTTCTTGTTCTTTTTACAACTGCTTGTACTGTGCTGTCCTCCACATTTCACACAGACATATGGTCTATTGCAATATGTTTTTGAATGGCCATATAATTGACATCTCATACATTGGATGATATTTTTGTTTTTTATAGGTGGTTCAATTTGTATATTGCAGTGTTGTAGTTTCTGAATTTTATAAATATCTTGGTTATTGTCTGATGGTTCAAGGTCAACAAAGAACATATTTATCGGCTCTTTTGTAATCCTATGTTTAGCATTAATGATGTTTCTTACCTTGTGACCCAGTTTTGTCAGTTCTTCTTTGATGTCTTCTGTTGCATGTGAATAGTGAAGGTATTTAATTACGACTCTATAGGCCCTTTCTTCCTTTGGTTGATATGTGTGATGAATAATGTTGTTCTCTCTCATATATCTGGAGAATTTTCTGTATATTTCTGGATCGCTACAAATTATTTTGACTGTATTATTTGCCATAGTTCTGGTTTCGTATTGTTCAGCTTCAGCTATTTCTGTAAATTTTTTCCTCATTTCTGGGAAGTCGCTTACATCGTAAACAAATATTGGTGGTGGTTTAGGTATTCTTGGCGCTGTTTCATTTTGATTGGTTTCATTTTCTTGGGTATCCGTTAGGGTATTATATTTGTTCGATAGTGTAATGGTATCATCTTCTTTGTCTGTTTCTACATTTGATCTGATTTTTCTGCGTTTTGTAGTTTTAACTACTTGCCATGAGTTATTTGTTGACACATTTGCACTTTCTGGTTCGTCATCGCTTGTTGATGACATTCTGTAGTATTGCTGGCTATTTCTGTTATTTATATTGCTGTTGTGTGCCGCGTTTTGTTGATTTATATATTGTTCTTGATTGGGCGGAAATATCATATTCGTCGAAGAATTAGTGGTTGGTTGATTTATTTGCATATTGTACATACCTGGTATTTGTGATGAGATTTGTGGATAACCCTGTATATTGTTGATTTGTGATTGACCCTGTGTGTTGTTTGGAATCTGCATTTGTGGGTAACAATTCATTTGGTTTGATGGATACTGGATTGGTAATGGCTGGCTGTTTACATTTTGTATTTGTTGGCTAACTATGTAGTTGTCGAATCCTGGTCCATTTCCCGTTGGAAACATTATAAATAAATTACTGTATTGTTTTTAAATTTAATTTGATGAGTTTATTATTTTTAAGTCTATTACTAATTGATTGCTTTTTAATCACTTCACATTTATCTGTTCAAATCGAGAAAACCGGTCGAATGTTGATAACAGAGAACCATTTAACGTCCGCTCGGTATGGAGTATCGATGTGAACTCACAAACAATATAAAACAATAAAATATAAAATAAACAAAACAAAACCCAAACAGGACAGAACAAAATATAACAAAACATAACAAAATATAACAGAATATAACAAAATATAACAAAAGATAACAAAACAGAACAAAACCTAACAAAATCTAACAAAACATAACAAAACATAACGAAACATAACAAAAAATAACGAAACATAACAAAAAATAAAACAAAACAAAACATAACAAAACATAACACAACATAACAAAACATAACAAAACATAACAAAACATAACAAAATATAACAAAACATAACATAACATAACAATAACATAAGAATAAAATATAAAACAAAAAAATCAAAAAAAAACCAGACAAAATACAACTATACACAACACCACAACATAACAATAAGATAACAGCAAAACATAACAAAACATAAAAAACATAACAAAACATAAAAAAAACATAACAAAACATAACAAAACCTAACAAAACATAACAAAACCTAACAAAACATAACAAAACCTAACAAAACATAACAAAACATAACAAAACATAACAAAACATAACAAAACATAAAAAAACATAACAAAACATAACATAACAATAACAGAAATATAATATAAAACGAAAAAAATCAAAACGAAAAAACCAGACAAAATACAACAATACACAACACCACAACATAATAAGATAACATAGCAAAACATAACAAAACATAAAAACATAACAAAACATAAAAACATAACAAACATAAAAAAACATAACAAAACATAACAAAACCTAACAAAACATAACAAAACCTAACAAAACATAAAAAAAAGTAACAAAACCTAAAAAACATAACAAAACCTAACAAAACATAACACAATCTAACAAAACATAACAAAACATAACAAAACATACAAAACATTCAAAACATAACAAAACAACAATAAAACAACAATAAAACAAACCAAAACAACAAAAACTAAACAACAATCCTGTAAATTGGTATGAAAAACCTCACGTCTCCAATTAGAAAATTGGAAATCTTTCACCTATCTCGGGATCCTGCGCCAAGATTAGGCTCGTAACACAATTTACAAACGCAACAAAACAAAACACAACAATATACAACACAACAAAACAAAACACAACAATATACAACACAACAACATAATATAACAAAGATAGCAAAACAAAACAAAACACAAATCTACAATATAAAAGACAAAACAGGAACAAACCAAACAAATCAAAACAATGGCATGTCCGCTATGTTGAACGATCTCCTGTAAGCCGTAAATTGGTATGAAAAACCAATAAACAAACCAAGCATATTGTGGCTTATTCCCAGTTAGATAGTAATTAATTTAAAATGGCACAAGAAAATAGCTTCAGAACAACAATAACACAATAACATATAAAATAAATAAAACCCACACAGGACACAACAAAACATAATAAAACATCAAAACATAACACAATATAGTAACACATAACAAAGCATAACAGAACAAAACATAACAAAACATAACAAAACATAACCAAACCTAAGAAAACATAACAACACATAACAACACATAAGGGTAATTCCAGCAATAATCGACACAAGTCGCTGAGGTAACCCTCTCCGATTTGGCTGAAATTTCACACCCATGTACTAGACAAAAAAACATGATTGTCAAATTTTCAGACCTTAATATTCAAAATGGCTGCCGTGGTGCGCTATTAAAGTTTCACGCTTGTTATCAATTTTTTTTTCTTCGTGTTTTGCCGATTTTTTTAATGCGAAACAAAGCGCTTTTTTGAAAAATTCATATCTCAAAAAAACCCTCTTTAATTTTTTTCAAATTTTCACAAAATACGCCTTAATACAAGTACTTTAGAATAAAATTTGTCTCAGAAATTCTTTTTATATGTTTGAATGTAATGTATGATTGTGCAGATTGACTCCTATATAAATTTTTAACGAGGAACGCGTGTATAGGAGCATAACTTCTACCTGCAGTCCCACTGGACTGCCACACCCGTTTTTTCTCTTGCTTGCGATTTTTAATCAAGTTTGAGAATTTCGTCTAATTTTAGCCAACGCGAGTCCTCCTTTTAAGAGCAGCCGCGACCGACTAGCCAGCAGTGGGAAACACGCCGCCTAGTGGTGAATATAGTAGTGAGAGAATTTCAAACATATACATTACTGTAAGTATTCTAATAAGATAATACATACTTTATATATACGTATATTACACACACACCCTTGTATATATAGACGAACAAGTATTATAAAATGTATAATAATAAAATCCTAGCGCAAAAAATGTATTGATTACAGCGCGCAATTCTGCGTTTAATATTGTGTCGCCCCCTATAAAACGGTAAAATCGGTGGTAAATAAATTCAAAATAGTAATTTTTTGTGTAAAATTTTCCGTAGAATTCGAATTCGTTGTCAGAAAACCTCTAAAAGTTATTTGGAAGCTGAAAAACGAAGGAAAAGCGCTAAAAAAGGCGAGAAAATCGCGTTTTTTGGACTCTTATAGTTCGCAGCGGCTTCAAACATATAAAAAGGATTTCTGAGACAACTTTTATTCGAAAGTACTTGTATTAAGGCGTCTTTTGTGAAAATTTGAAAAAAATAAAGACGGTGTTTTTAAGATATGAATTTTTCAAAAAAAGCGCTTTATTTCGCATTTTGTGGCTTTACATGACGTCATATGGCAATTCTGAACTGATATTTGCAATTGCATATTATTTGAGCATATTTAGCTCGCTGTACTAAAAATCTCGGCGAAACACGAAAAAAAATTGATAAAAAGCGTGAAACTTCAATAGCGCGCCACGGCCGCCATTTTGAATATTGAGGTCTGAAAATTTGACAATCATGTTTTTTTGTCTAATACGACATGTGTGTAAAATTTCAGCCAAATCGGAGGGGGGACTCCACCGACTTGTGTCGATTATTGCTGGAATTACCCATAACAAAACATAACAAGACAACAAAACATAACAAAACATAACAAAACATAACGAAACTTAACAAAACATAACAAAACATAACAAAACATAACAAAACATAACAAAACATAACAAAACATAACAAAACATAAAAAACATAACAAAACATAAAAAACATAACAAAACATAAAAAAACAAAACAAAACAACACAAACCAACCATAATCCCGTAAATTGGTATGAAAAACCTCACGTCTCCAATTAGAAAATTGGAAATCTTTCACCTATCTCGGGGTCCTGCGCCAAGATTAGGCTCATAACACAATTTACAAACACAACAAAACATAGCCCAACATAACGTAACATAACAAAACATAAATAACATAACAAAACAAAGCAAAACAAAACACAAAAAAAATATTAAAGACAAAAACACAACAAACTCAGCAAAACAAATCAAAACAAAACTAACCAAACAAATCAAAACAATGGCATGTTCGCTATGTTGAACGATCTCCTGTAAGCAGTAAATTGGTATGAAAAACGGCACGTCTTCAATTAGAAAATTAGAAATCTTTTACCTATCTAGGGATCCTGCGCCAAGATTAGGCTCATAATACAATTCACTTATAACATATTAAGATGTGTTACGTTTAGCAGACCAACTTATCATCATTATCATCATCCTCTCTTTTCCTTTACTTCTGTGCGGGTCGGCTTCCTACGAAAAAACAGTTTCAGAACCTTATATAAAATACTATTTTATTTTTTTTTCAGGTACTCCTAACATGGATAATCTCAAGACCGACCTTGACCCTTCCTATAACCATGGAACAACCACAGTAGCAATCGTTGTCACGTACCATAACAATTTAACATTAGCAACAACAGCAGCAATCATTACATGTACTATAACCACAGTAGCAACTACTGTGGATAATACTGGAAGAATATTGAATTTCAGTAACAAGTTTATGAAGATGTAGAAATATTATAGCACTTGCTCTAACGACCTGAAAGAAAAAACTATTAATGTAAAAATAGAGGTACTATTAATATAGGGACTAAAATGATAATTCGCGGATATAAGAATTATTTTTTGGCGCAGGACAAAATCAGCTCGATAAAGATTACATTTAATATAAATATAATATAACATAATATAATATAATATAATATAATATAATATAATATAATATAATATAATATAATATAATATAATATAATATAATATAATATAATATAATATAATATAATATAATATAATATAATATAATATAATATAATATAATATAATATAATATAATATAATATAATATAATATAATATAATATAATATAATATAATATAATATAATATAATATAATATAATATAATATAATATAATATAATATAATATAATATAATATAATATAATATAATATAATATAATATAATATAATATAATATAATATAATATAATATAATATAATATAATATAATATAATATAATATAGTATAATATAATATAATATAATATAATATAATATAATATAATATAATATAATATAATATAATATAATATAATATAATATAATATAATATAATATAATATAATATAATATAATATAATATAATATAATATAATATAATATAATATAATATAATATAATATAATATAATATAATATAATATAATATAATATAATATAATACAATATAATATAATATAATATAATATAATATAATATAATATAATATAATATAATATAATATAATATAATATAATATAATATAATATAATATAATATAATATAATATAATATAATATAATATAATATAATATAATATAATATAATATAATATAATATAATATAATATAATATAAATATAATATAATTTATAGTAAGATTATTCATAGGATAATCTTTTTGTTAACTTTTCGAAATTTAATCAATTATCAAAAACTGGAAATTAAATAGAAAATAATTTTAAAGTATTAAACCGTTGAAAATATAACAGTATTAACGATATGTCAGATCGTTACAGTTCACGGAACATTACTCAATACATAAAGAAAATACCTAATAATAAAAAAACGAAAAACGTCATATTTGGTATGAAATTTGGTATATACGTTTAGAATACTACTAGCGGACCAACTCGACATCGAGTTTTGATGTAAGCTAAAGTATGTAAGCAAAATCCTAAAAATAAACTGTATCGACGCCAATTTTTTTAAATGAAAATCGATACAGTAGTTTTTTAGGATTTTCAGGAAGATTTACATTAGGAAACGGAAACAATATGATTGTTGGACTCCGCCCCTCTTAAATAAAAAACAGAAGTAAAACCGGAAGTAAAACCGGAAGTAATTTTTTTGCGTATTTTAGATTGTAAAATGCCACTTTTAAGAAACAAAAGACGGTTTGAGAACTCGCTTTGATTGAATTTAATTTTTGAACTTAAATGAATTAATAAATATATTACCGGAAGTAAATACTTCCGGTTTCATAATTCTGAATTCAATCAGCAAGTAAAGAAAAAAGTAGACGCGGGCATATTTTAAAAATACATTAAAAATTAGGACTTTAAATTTTGAAGAATGAAACCTGTAAAATTCCTATACTTTACTATAGGAAAAATTCATGTTATGGCCGCCATTTTTAAACCGGTTCGAATTTTTTAAATTTGAAACCTTAGGGGTATCTACTCAACAATCTGTTTAATTATTCGAAAAATTTATTCTGCTATTAGAGGAGATTTCACCGTTTAGGAGTATTGCGCACAAGAAAAGGGCTTAGCCTTTTAATATATAAGATTTGATAAAAAAATTTAATGTGTTTTTCCGATAATCTAATGCAAGGAAAAGTAGAATAATATAGAACAGGGCTTCTCAAACTGGTACGTCGCTGAGATGTCCTAGGGGTGTCGCGTGTGACCGCGTACTTTTAATATAGAAAATATATTTATTTGATTTTATATGAGTATAAAATATATGTATTAATAAATAAATCAAATAAAAAATATAACATCAAGTCGATAGACCCTTGAATTACCCAAAATTAGTCAATAAAATTTTTAATCCGAAAATTATCCGATGGTCTACGAAATCGGATAATTATCCGGATATTGTCAACACCGGAGTCGAGTGGCAGTAATATTAATAGTAAAAAGAAGAAATATAGGAAATATTACGACCAATATTTGGATTTTGGATTTACCTGCCTTACTAAAGGGAATGTAGAACTTCCACAATGTGTTTTTGTCACAATGTGTTGTCTGCTGAAAGCATGTTTTCTAATAAACATAAAACGGCAATCAACTCACAATCAATTTCCAAGGTAAGCCAAGAGACTTGTTTGTAAGAAAATTATGAGAGCTAAAATATCAGACCACTACTTTGGATTCAAGAGCACCAATTGCTACCAAAGCATTGCTCGTCTCTTACCGTGTTTCCAAATGCAAAAAACCACATACGACCGCTGAAGAACTGACCTTACCTGCAGCGGTTGATATGATAACAGGAATGATTGGAGAATCAGCAGCTAAGGAAATAAAAAATGTACTTATTTCAAAAAATCTGGTTAGTTGCCGTATTCACGACATTGCAGATGATATTAATGAGCAATTGTGGGGAAACTTTCAGGTTTATTTGCTATTCAACTGGACCAGAAAACTGATAATAATGATGATGCTAAATTGTTATATTATGTAAGGTATATCTGGCATATTAAACTTTTTTTCTAGTCGCCGGGTATTTTCTCTTCTTGTCATATGTCTTTGATGAGCACGTATATATGACTTACTAGCTGGTCGCAACCTATACTATGTAATGCTGCTAATATTTCATCAATTCCCGGGGCTTTGTCCGTTTTCATAGCCTCTTTTTATTTCTACATATCTTATATGCTTTCCGTCTTGGGACTTGAAATTGTGTCTTTCCCGTGTTCTTGGTATATACATTTTGTGTCTATTGCTTGTCTGCACTCGTTATCGAACCATGCTCTTCTTATCGCCTTGTTCTTGTTTTCCAAGGTCGACGCTGCCGTTGTCAGTACTGCTGTTTTGATATTATTCAATTTGCCCTCTATGGAGTGCAGTTCTAGCGTCCTCAACTCATTTGCGACTTAACTGCTTTGGCCTTCTCTTTACATTCCTGAGTATTCCGTTTTTCCAGATTCAGTTTGTTAACCCTGTCTTAACTTCCCAAATTTAAATAATCCTAATTCTTGTAAATGTTTTTTAAATTTATGTATGCAATTAGTCTACTACAATAAGTGTTCATTACTAAGAAGTAAGATTTTCAAGACTTGCTATATTATACCGTCGATGGTGACGTGGCATGCTGTGGATCAGATCATCTTTTACTACAAACGAAATTTAAATGCAGAGTTAACAAAGAAAGAAACGAAAGAGAAAAAAGAACAAACACGGAAGAGAATAACGCAGGCAAACAGAGCTTATTTTGCCCTCTCCCATATATTTCGGTCCAAAAAAGTCTACCGAAATACAAAGATGAGAGTCTACATAATTCGACCAATAGCATGCTATGGCAGTGAAGGTTGTGTCCTGAAAGAAATATACAAAAGCATACTCGACACATTCGAAAGGAAAGTACTGAGGAGAATACTAGAACCTGTGAGGGAAAACGGAATCTTCAGAAGTCGATACAACAACGAGCTTTATCAACTTTATAAGGAAGCACCACTGTCAGACTTCATTAGAATACAAAGATTGCAATGGGCCGGACATATGATAAGAATGAGAGAGGATAGGCTACCAAAAGAGCACTGAATGCTAGAATGCAGGAAAAGAGACCGGTTGGAAAGCCAAGAAAGCACTGGAAAGACACAGTAAACAGCGACGCACAAGCCCTTTTAGGAGTCCGTGTATGGAGAAGATCAGCCACAGACAAGCAAGGGTGGAGGCAAAAATAAAGCAGGCCAAGACTCGATTTGGGCTGTAGTGCCGTAGAAGAAGAAGAAGTTGTCATATTATTAGTGTTCTATTATTAAGTTTTTCGTGAAAATGGTTCGCACAACTAAGAAGAAAGTGTTTACAGTAGAGAATTATTCCCGCTTATTTCCTTTTAACGAAATAATGAAAGACGTGTCTAAGTCATCGAGACATTTCGAAAAACGTATCAAAATTGGATAAAGACTAAACTTTGCAAGGCAATCGTGGAAAAGAACTTTGCTCTGGAGGAATGTTGAACTTACTGTACGAAGTTCCAAATTTCTTGAGAAATGATTGGTTTTGGGACGAAAGTTATATTTACCTTTACGATTCTATCAATAGAAAAACAGCTCGATTTCTTAAATTTGAACGCTCATTATTCATTATAGAGAAACCACTCCACAGTGACCGAAATGCCGTTTTGTATGCTGTGTCGGGGGGCTAAGGAATATCGGTCCTTATTTTGTTGAAGATGTAAACGAGTATCCAGTTACTATTAACCAATAGCTTTCAAATCAGAAATTCCGCCAGCAGATATAAATCACTATTTTCAATTATTGTTGCATAGTCTACAGAATCGTTATGGGGCTCGTTTGCACCGCAATGGTGCATATTTTAAACATACTATACGTTGAATACAATGTTCAATTTCGGTACTGTTTATTTTGGGAATGTTATATTTAGCTTTCAGCGGATAAATTAGAATTATTAGTAAATCATTTAAAGTTTAAGTCATTTAAAAATAAACTTAGACCTAATTTTGATACAACATAGTTCAGACTAGAATCTTTAAAAATTTAAAATAAAAGTAAGTATACATCTTTAAATCAGTATTTTAAATTCTTTTGAATAAGGTGTCACATGATGTACCGTTCGCGTCATAAAAAACTGGTACAACTCTTATAACCAAAAATCGTGTTTTTATAGTTGTGTACGTTGATCTTGTCACATGGGTCATTCTAATTTCTAGGGCACTGTTGAGAGTTCAACGAAAATTCAATTAAATGAAACCAGCTAAAAGCAGGGCTGTGCGACAGACTGCCAGTTTT